GTCGTGTCTCATAGTGGGATCAGCCATATGGTCCACTCTGTGCATTGGCTGTTCGGAGCGGGGATATCATCCTCCAGGCCTGGTGGGCCAGGATGTGCTCCACTCTCTTCCTCCCCATTCATTTTTTCCCGTGTGCTCTCATCAGACATGACCATCTCCCCGAGCTGCAGCTTCAGTGCTGTCCTCTAAAGTAAATTCTTCTGATATACTATTGGACCGGAAAAGGCGAGTGATTTCACTCCACCCCTGTCATGCATTCTGAATAATTTTACAATAAGTGTGTATGAACAGAAAACAAAGCAAATCTCGAAACATTTCCCATTTTGTTTTAAGGAGTTAGGACCCTGATTCGATGTTTCCTGGGCTTGTTTGAGCTGGATGCTGTCTAGTGAACCCTGACTCACGATGTCCTCGTGGGACAGTGCACAACTGCCCCAGGGCGCTTTCTTGGCAGTGATTTTTTTTAAAATCATTTTATTGGGGGTTCTTACAGCTCTTATCCCAATCCATCCATCCATCCATTGTGTCAAGCATATTTGTACATACGTTTCTTGGATGTGATATTTATGCAACAGGTCTCTAGGTTGTTTTCCTGAAGAGCCATTGAGAGAATTCAAGCCGCCAGGCTTTCTGTTAGCTTAACCTTTGAGTCAATGGCTGCTTATTTTCTCGAGAATAGTTTTGTGTTTTCTTTCTTTCTTTGGAAACTACCTCCACAGTGACCCTGCACTGGCACCTCCTGACGTTTGTCCTTCCATCTGTGACCACAGAAGCCTGGAGATGGTTTCATTCTCCGTGATGCTTATGAAAATCAAGAATCAATGGAATGTGAATTTACAGGGATACGAGAACTGAATTTTTTTAAATTAATTTAAATCATACAGGGACTAGCCCTTTGTATTGTTATAGATTTAATATTGCTCAAGATGCATTATTTTTAAAATTTTCATCTTTAGTATGATGTATCAATGACTTAACCATGATCCCCAAACTTTGCATGTATTTCTAGAATGAAGACCGAATTAAAGAAAGGAGGAGACAGCTAGGAGATTCCAAGCACTACTGTCCAGTGGTTCTCAAGGAAAACTTCATCCTACAACCAGGCAATGTAGACGAAGCTGTAAAATATCGAGAAAAGATCTACTACTTTTCCAGTCCTGAAACTAAAGAGAAGTTTTTGGAACACCCTGAGGAGTATATAGCCCACAAAGAACCACTAAAGGTGAAAATCTTAATTACAGCTCCTTAGGTTTTACTCCTTAAGTTTGGGGACTTTCCTTAACTTAAGAACTTCCTACCCACCTCCCCCACTGAAGTCTGAGAAGTTCCTCATCTGAAATAACAATAAAATGCCTCAGAGAACAACAGTTTTGGAATATAACATAACAACAAGGATCCATTTTGATTTCTACATCGATGCTTTACTACAGCAGGCTTCAAAATGTTTGTGGAAATTTTTCATTATCCTTTCATTCCATTTTTCCATGAACTCAGTCAGCATGGACGCCGTGGCAGGGAGCTTGGTTTGGGTACGTGGTGTAGGCAGAAGTGGTTTGAAATCATCTGTAGAAGGATGATACCGACCAAGTGAGGCTGCAGTTGGCTGGTTCGCATTCAGATGGGTGTTTACTGGAGTGAGTTTACCTTTGATTGGCTTACTATCAGAAGCAGAACGCTGCCACTGATGGATCCAATTACAAAGAAAAAGTGTAAGATATGACAAAATAATAATAATTTATAAATTATCAAGGGTTCGTGGGGGAGGGGAGAGTGGGCAGGGGGTGGAAATGAGGAGCTGATACCAAGGGCTCACGAAAACAGCAAATGTTTTGAGAATGATAATGGCAACATAGGTACAAATGTGCTTGACACAATGGATGGATGGATGGATTGTGATAAGAGTCACATGAGCCCCCAATAAAATGATTTTTTTTTAAAAGAAAAGAAAATGTCCTCTAAACTCAATTGCCCATCAACTAAATGGGCTTAAAACAAATTACCAGGACTATAAAGCAATCAGTCTTTGCCTCAATTTGTGGGAACATTTTCATTCTTATTGATCGGCCATTGGGACGAATTTTCCTACTTTCTTTAAAAACATAAGCTTGAGGATACATGATGGCAATATTTTATTCGTTTTTTATAAATCATTCTACAGACTACATCATTCTACAGATTCAGATCACAGTCTTCATTTTTATGCTTTACTTTCTGATTCTCTTCCACAAGAATACGTATATTTTTCTAGTGTGTATAGCTTTCTGTTCTCTGTTTTTTCACTTAATATTATATCAGAGAAGTTTTTCTCTTAGTACATAGATATCATAACTTAATATTTTATATCATGATAATCATTTTCAGCATCAAACTTATTTTAGACATTCGTTCCTAGTGGTCTCCCTCTATGAATATGAAATGGTACTTGGGGGGAAATATTTGGGGCCATCATTCTTGTTTCTCTTGAGTTGCCTGATTAATATAATTCTCTGGATTGGGATTACGGAATCCAGCTATATGAATCGCAGTTATATAAATCACAGTTTTGTGCCAGGCCTTCCCAAGCATAACATTTGGAACATGATTTAAATTCTTCTGGATAATTTGGGCCATTTTCATGGACTTCAATTTTTAAATGATGCCCTCAGGGACTGTTGAGGCTGTGGAAGGGGACATTTAAGGGTTGCGGCCATTGATCTTGTATCGCTTTCAGCTGTCATTTCTCTCCAATGAGTCATTCTTTGTCTCCAATCTATGGTCTTTTTTACACAAATCCATGCTGGTCTGTCTGGGGAAACCAGCCTCCAACCAGCGAAGGACCAGAAAGCACCATTGTACAGTGATAATATATAAAGATTATAGTAAAATCCTAGAGGATAATATATAAAGATTATAGTAAAGTCCTAGAGGATAGGGAAAACAGACAAAAAGAGAATAAAATAAAGGAATCAGACACATTTCATGGTAGCATGCTCACCTCAACTCCTCTTGATGGTCCACGTGGAACTGGGAGAAGTGAGAGAGAATCTTTACCATCTTGGGACATTTATAGGGAGCCCTAAGATATGCATATCCCATTGTTAGATGCGTCACAAGGTGAGTGGTATCTACATTAAGGTCCCTGAGCTCACAGGTGAGGAAACCTAATACGTGCAATGGGGGGAGGGATGAGGGGGTTGGAGAGAGAGCAAAAGGATGTCTGCTTCTATAGTGAAAGCTGCCATGTGCTTGTCAGAGGTAACTTTAAGGCAGCACTATGATGGGAGGATATAGTGGGGAACAATATTAATTATGAGAATGGGATTGGGACTCACCTCCAACTCACCAGGGTGAAAGCCTCCCCCAACCCCCAGTAACCCAGCCTGCCAGGGCCCTTAATATATGAGAATAACGGATTCATCCCTATGCAGTCTCTTCCCGTCGTCCTCTGCTCCCCACCTGGGTCAGCGCCTGAAAGTCTGCTGATGAGCCCAAAGATTTTCTGCAAAGATCAAGTGCAGGAGGTTCATCACAGGCATTGTCTTCCATGTTCAGCTCTTGTAATGTCCTCTGCACTAACAGCAGTATTCTAGACAGATCGGGTTGCCCCAGATTTCACCTTCATTTCCCCAGCAGTCTTCCCCCCCACCCCCCGAGCGATTTGAAATGTGATCAGACTGGTTCTGGGTTTTGTGCTGCACTTTGTTTGCCCGTCGCTTGGTTTCTTCACTGTTTATCTCTCTCCACATCATGCTTCTTGCTCGTGTTCTGAGGACAAGCAGCCCTCCCTTCCCCGCCACAAGCCCATCTCAGAAGCCAGGTCCTTAAGAAGCCTGCGCTGACTTCTCCAGTGACTGCTTCCTCATCCGAGAATAGTGTACTTACATCTCCATTTCTTGAGAGATCAGCTTAACCCATTTAGAAACTGACCCCCTGAGATGAGAAGTGAAAGCTTGGCTTTTGTGCTGCCTCTTCTTTCTTAGAGTTTTATGTCCATGGTGCTTTTCATTCTGTTGTTGCCACCCTTTCTAATTTTAAAGAGCATTCTCTGATTTCCATTCTTTTTACCTGTGTTGTGAATCATTTCTCTTTCCTCTGCACTTAACAGAGAAACGTGAGCCCCTCCGCCCTTTCCCTCCTCCCTCTCGGGCCCCACGACTGTGCTATTTCTCACAGTTGTTAACATCTACACTCTGTCCAGCCTCCAACCAACCATTACATGCGTTGCTCCTGAAGTGACTCAAAAATAGGAAAACCAATCAATTGTTTTTAATGTGCAAAATTTCAGGCCAATGGTATGTTAGTATTTGATGTCTTTCTCAGAGCTAGCATGAGCTCTTAGCAATACAATACAATCAATCTTCCTGCCGTTTCTCCTTGCAATTGTGTTTCTTGTATTCTGCCTCTGTCGGATGCGCTCATTTTCCTTGGCTTTCAAGCACGTGATGATCATTGTGCTCCATTTCCTGCCAGCGACCTCCTACCCGAGTCTACCATCCTCCTGCAGGTCACCATCCTGCACCCCCTTCACCGTAGCCTATTTCTGTCCTCGTTTTACTGGCCTAGAGTTCGCATATCATACAATCCAGTAGTTCATCTATGGGAAGAAGAGTCCTACAGTCATCACCACAATCAATTGGAGAGCATTTTGTGCTTTCTTGTGCCCATTGTTATTAGCCTCCAATTTCCCCTAACCTCCCATTACTCCAGTCACTACCTCTATAGATCTACCTGTCCTGGATTTCATATACAGAGGAATACACACACACACACACACACACACACACAACTCACAACAGTAACAAAGTAAAACAGAAAAACCTCAATCGAAAAGAAAGCAGAAAACACTTTAAAACTGTATTCTCATTTTGACTCACTGAATCCAAGATGATGTAAATGAAAAAGAGGGAGGGAGAGAGGGAAGGAATTTACCCCAAACTGACTTAGCTGAAAGGTCCTAGGGAAGACAGTGGTGGGATTCCCTGTGGTATCCTGCCTAGCCTCAAGTGTCAAGTGTAGCCACGAGGGCCCAGTTTCTCTCTCTCTCTCTCTCTCTCCATCTCTCAAGTCTGCTTTCTCTGGGGATGTATATTCTCAGAGTTTCATCCTGTGGGGAAATGGCAGCAGGAAATCCAGATCTTATTCCTTTTGGTTCTCAAAACTAGTAAAAAAGGACTTGATTTTTTCCCCCAAAGAAATTGTCAGTAAGTCTCACTGAACCAATCACAGTGGCCAAAAGCACGTGGAGCATCAAGTTGACTTCAGTTTTGTATTATGCCCACTGCTTGAACTAGTGACAGAATCACATCACACACTAACGGTCATCACACTAAGTGATGAGTGGTCTCCTAGACATCGATCCAGACATGGCTGACAAAAAGAATGGTCAGTAAGTGTTAGGTGGGAATAACAAGTTATGTACATGTTTTCCTTTTGTGGGTTTCTTTCTTTCTTTCATCCTTCATTGGCTAAAACACAGAGATGGCATTAGACTGCTAGCTTCAAGGTCAGCAGTTAGAACCCACCAGGCCTTCCTCAGGAAAAAGATGAGGCTTTCTACTCCCATAAACAGTTACTGTCTCAGAAACTCACAGAGGCAGCTCTCCCCCACCCTATAGGGCTGCTATGAGTCAAAATGACCCGATGGCAAGGAGTGAGTTGCTGAAACACTTACCAGCTTTCTTCGTATCTGAAAATACCATTATTTGGTTCTCATAGATAATGGATAGTTTGCATGGGCATGGTTTCTAAGTCAAAAATCATTTTCCTTTCAGAGTAACTTGGATGTATCTTCCCCTTGTGTGTGTTCCCTGGTATACCTTGTCCCTTCATCTTTAAACTCTCCTCTGAGCATTGACTTCACAAGGACAAGAAGTGTAGGCTGTTCTACTTGGCTGATTGAAATTTGTAACTTCACCCCTTGCAAAACCCCAGCTTCTTTGCCGTTTACACTATCCCTTTATATACTGTTGCCCCATACTTGTTTCCAACCACCTGCCAATTTCGTGGTCATTTCTCCTTGCTCATCAAAGACTTATGCTCCTGCTTCCTCACAGCTATCATCAGCATTCTGGGCAATTTCAGCAGCCATGTGGATTCTCTAGCTTCGGACCTTTCATCTCCAGGTTGGGTACTATACACATTCAGGGAAGAGTCTCTCGTGTTATTAGGAGCTTCTTTTGGTTGGTAGAGAGAGTTTATATTTGCCTGTGTTAAGCAAGTCTCTTTCTATTATTTAGTCTATAAAACTTATTTCAAAGGTAGATCTAAATATTCCATTTTATCAATTGCCTTTCGTCATGTGCTATTAAGAGGCCCCTGTGGAAACAAGCTGTGTCCGTCAGTGGTTGAAGAGATCAATGGAACCTGGTACGTGTACACCATGAAATAGTAAGCAACTAAAAGGATAATAGGAAGTCCATGCTACATCTTATAACATGGGTGAATCGAGAGGGCATTTTCCTGAGTGAACTAAGTCCATCACAAAAAGACAGAGTTTGTATGGCCCCTGAGTGATGAAACATTGAAGCGTCAAGAATATGCTGTCACAGAGAAAGCAAGGTTGCCCTTTCATGTTAGCAGAGGTGAGATGTCGTCAGAAGCTGTCGAGGGGCTCCACCTCCTGTGCACCATGCAGTGAGGCGCTGGCCTGGCCCGCCCCACCTCACCATCGTTGTTATGTTCGGGATGGGAAGAAAGGGATGGACAGTCACCTTCCAGGTCGTAGACACTTGTTATTTTTGGTGATGGGAAAGATGGGAAGTCTGCACAACATGACCAAGGAAAATGAAGACACTGAAAATATACAAGGAAAGGGAATGTTGGTAAATGCTCTAACATATACAGTTTTGCATCAATGTATGCCTATATGCATAATAGTCAATGTCACGGAATGATTTGAATAAAATTGTTCAATGGGAACCTAATTTGTTAGGTAAATTTTCACCTAAAACATCATAGAGTTCTTTATAGGTGATCCTGTGGACATGGATAATTCTGAAGCCCATTGTCGCAGGCGTGACAAAGAGCCTTGTTCTTCGGGATGTTGCAAGGTTTCCGCCTCTCCGTAACAGGGGCCAGTCTTCCCACTGTTGTATTGCTCTGTCTTAGTGGAAAATATTGGCGTTCTCTAACAGATTTCTGCCTGATGCAGCTTCTGACTGTCATAGGTTTTAGTATTTTAATTGCTATCCTGGCATTTCATTGCTCTTGAGTTCCTGAAAATGATAACCCCTATGTGCCCTGAAGGAAATCGTTGATTAGTCTATCATGTTCCTCTTCTCCACTGACCCCATTCCCCGTCCCTTGACAGGCTCCTCCACTACGGCTGTGTCTTCTCGGCCCCCACGGCTCTGGCAAAACTGTCTGTGGAAGTTCTTTGGCAAAAAAGTTAGGCATTTTTCATATTCAGTTTGAAGAATTTCTTCAGGAAAAATTAATGCTCAAAACGGAAAAGAAAGTTGGGCCTGAATTTGAGGAGGACTCTGAGGATGAACAAATGATAAAGCAAGAGATTGAAGAGCTCGCCATTCAGGCCAACATTGTGCTGGAGGAAGAAAAGACCAAGAAGCCGGTAGTAAACCTCTGATATATAGCATTATTTATTATTACCGGTGTACAGTACTTTGGGAGGAAGAGCAGAAGTAGTCAAAAATATTATAGAGTTTCTAACAAGGAAAAAAAAACAGCCTATGGAAAATATTTACTCATTATTCCCCAAATGTTAAATATAGTTCTTACCACCGATCTAGACTGTACACTACTGAGAGAAACCTTTTTCTGACAAGGCCTCTGTATAGGGCTTAGTTGGAGCTGTGTTATTTAATAGCTTTTCTCTAGCAAACAATGTTTTAATTGCTATGTCCTCTATCAAATATCATTCAAAAGAGATCTGCCAATACCAATGAGATTCAAAATTAGTAACTTCTAAAGATATGCCACAAAGAAAGTATTTGTGGATCTGTGATCATGTCTATCCTGGGTTGTGAAAAGAAAGGTTTTACTTCTAACTTACTTACTAACTATTTCTGATATACCCAGATCATTATTGTCTCAAATGAAATCCCGTGAATCGGCCTAACTAGATGGAGCAGGACTGTGGTATCCTAATAGGTGATATGGCACCCCTTCGAACATATTCTTGACATGTTTTCCATTTATTTTTGGTGAAGATAGAGAAACTGAGATTCTATGACTTTGAAAAAAATGTATTTTGAAACAGATTTTTCCCTATATGTTACAACTTAGTAGTCCCATCATATTGAGAAGAGTTATGAATCATTACTCCAGTCAGTTTCAGAATACTTTCTTCTTTCTTGTACTTATTGCTGTTAGCTCCCTCCAGCCTGCCCTGCCGTGCCCCTAGGTGATTATTAATCCAGTTACTGTAATTTACCTATACTGGATTTCATATGCAGAAAATCACACAAACAGAAACAAGAAACAAACACAATGCCAATAACAATGGCATAATAAAACAGAGAAGAACCTCAGTCAAAAAGAAAGCAGAAACTATTAAAAACTTAGACAACTTTAAAATGAGTCAAAAGGACAGTCTAGTGATAAGGTGTTACATTTTAGCCTAACTACCGTTTTTAAAAATTAAATAGCTGTATTTTTTTTTTTAATGTAGGAAGTTGTGTCCTACTTTTCTAGATTTTTCGGTTTGGATCTCTTTTTCTTTTAAAGTTTTCTGTCATTCGACTTCTCAAGAGTCACATTAAGAGATTTTAGTTTGAAATATATTCCTCTTCCTGGTAAGTGGAATTTTCCATGTATAACCCTAGTGGCACTATCACGTAATCATTGGACTGCTAACAGCAAGGTCTGTGGTTCAAACTCACCAACTGCTCCCATAGAGCTTTATAGCTATGAGTCAGAGCCAACTTGATGGCAGTGGGTTATTCAGCTTCAAAATTTTGGAATGACAAAAATACTAAATAAAAATAGTTCTAGTCTTAAAGTTTCCACTTAAGAGTGGGCCTACTTTAACGAGAGCTGACCTGTGTTAATGAGCACAATATGTTCCATTTTTACTATGATGTTTGAATCCCCCTATGCGTGACGGCATGATCATCCCTTAATCACCATCTAGGGTGGAGAGATAATACTGTATGACTACAAGAAAGACAACAGAAATCAGTAAGCCTGGTGGTGGTGACTTAGACAGTACAGGGCTTTAACACAAAGTGGATGAAACAGATACCTGACTCCACGTTTAACGATCAGTCATTCTCTCTCTCTCTCTATCTCTCTCTCTCTCTGATATATATATATATATATATAGATATAGATATAGATATAGATATAGATATAGATATATATATATCAGACTGATATATATCTATATATATATCTATATATATATAGATATATATCAGTCTTGCTAACTGCTAGTAACTTCTCTGAAACAGAGTAGATATAAGTTAATATTTAAAATCCTATTAAATATTGGTTTAAAAAGAGCCTCCATTTAAAAACTTAAAATACAAATCACAGTATAAACAGTTGGCCTGAAAAAAAGGCAATTATCTTCATAGTCAGCTAAAAATATAGTATTTTTTATTTAATATAGTTTTGTTTTACTTTCTGATTCTTTGCTTTTAGCCTCCAGAAGTACATCTTACAGAAGAAGAAGACGCAATCAAATCAAATCTAATAGAAAATGAGCCACTGCCTCCAGAAATTCTCGAAGGGATTCTCTCTGAGTGGTGGTTTAAGGAACCAATATGGTATCTTGATCGATATAGGATTATACTCTTTTAAACCATTATTATTTTTATTCCTAAAGTTAAAGGTAGAGTTTTGTGACTCTTAATTGAACATCTGGGGAACTTTTCAAAAGTACTAATGACTAGAGCTCACTCCAAGCTGTCAGACTCTTTGGCGGTATAGAGGCTGGGGCCCAGCCACTGGCTTTTGGGAAGCTCATGGGATGGCTCCAATGTGTGGTTGTGACTAAGAATCCCTGTTCTGAGCCCAAACCAAACCCAAACTCAGCTCCATCAAGTCAAGTCCAGCTCAGAGCAACCCTTGGGACAGAGTACACCTGTCCCCTCAGGGTTTTGATGCTGTCCATTTTTACACGAGTAGACAGCCTCCTCTTTCTCCCGCTGAGTGGCTGGTGGGTTGGACACACACACAGGCTTTGTGGTCAATAGCTCAGTGCATAGCCCACTACGTCACCTGAGCTCCTTATTCGAAACCCAGGTACCCTAATTATGAGCTGGACTTTTCCCCCCTATTTCTTTTTAGCAATTACAGTGAAATCTGTGAGAACCAGACTCGATGAGACTGCCTTGCTTTTCAGGGTCTCACAAGCTTTCTGCCTTTGACAGGTGCAGGCTTAAAAATATGTTTGCTCTGTATTAGTAGATAATAGCTGTGTTTTCCTTCTCTGACAAGTTTCCACCTTATACAAGTTCCAGCTTTCATAGGTGTCACTGTTCTGTTAGAGCCACTTCATGAACTCACTGCCAGCCAGTCCATTCTGACTCACAGAGACCCTATAGGACAGGGTAGAACTGCCCTGTGAGTTTCCCAGACTGTCACTGTTTACCGGAGTAGTAAGCCCCATTTTCTCCCAAGCAGCAGCTGGGAAAAACTGTGGACATTGCAGATCAGAGCCCAACGCATAACTACTTCACCACCGGGGCTCCACTGAATGGCTATCCTTCTAGTGTGTTATCCTTTTACCAAATACTAGAAACAATCTTGATACCACACAGGAAAATATAAGAATCCCCAGGTCACCGTCTTTAATCAGACACTCTCTTCTCTTTGGTTCTACTTGCAAGTGGCTTCTTATACCAGCTACCTGTATTTAGGTGAAACTTCACAGGCTAAGGAGACAGTTCTCTACAAGACTGCCCTCCCTTGACTTCAGACACCAGACACACATTTGGCTGTTTTCTTCACTTCTATCTGCTTACAATCTGGGGGTCCTCACTGCCCCTTGGGCTTGATTATTCCTCAAACAATACACAGAGTGCTCTACCTACCATTACAGTTTTAGGATATTTAAAGTATGTGAATTAGAACCAGCCCTAGATAGAGAACATACAAGACACGGTCTAGGAGGGTCCCACCACCACTCACCTGTCAGTTTGTCATACTGTGATGGCTTCCATGTTTCTGTGATGATGGAAGATATGCCACTGGTGTTTCAAAGACCAGCAGGGTCATCCATGGAGAACAGGTATCAGCGGCACTCCCAGATGAAGAACAGACTAAGAAGAAGCAATCGACAGTCAATTTCTAAAGGGTTAGTTACTGGAACCCTTATGAATAGCAGTGGGACATTGTCCGAGACAGCTCTGAAGAAGAGCCCCTCAGGTCAGAAGGCACTCAAAAGACAACCGAGGAAGAACAGCCTCTTCAAAGGAGAGCCACCTTAATGACATGAATGGAACAAACCCCTCTACCTTTTTATTAGGAAAGCCGCTGCCCTTAGAAAGCACCTTGAACAATAAGGATGCTAAATTCTGGCCAATTTTGGTTGAGAGTCAGTTCACCGATTGGCTCCATAATATAGGACGAAGCGGACCCTGCCTCCTAATTAGAAGTATGAATCATCCGCAGCCCCTGCCCTCATTGCATAAATGTGTGTATGTACTTGAGCACTAAGATCAATGTTTACCCCAAAATGAACTCTACCAGCTTCCAAAATCCAAAAGTCATAAAAATAGGTGTGTTAGCCCAGGGGCTTAGGTGGAGAGCAAATGTTTTGAGAATGATGAGGGCAATGAATGTACAGATGTGCTTTACACAATTGACGTATGTATGGATTGTGATAAGAGTTGTATGAGCCCCTAATAAAATGATTAAAAGAAGAAGAAAATCAATGCCACTTTCAGTATGCATTACAACTCGATATAAAGAAAGCCCAAGTTCCACAACTGGACCAATAATCAACATCATGATAAATAGCGGGGGGCGGGGGGTGGGGGGGATGAAATTTTCAAAGATCTCTTTTCTCTTGGATCCACAATCCATGCTCGTGGAAACAGCATTCAAAAAATCAAAGGACACATTACATCAGGCAAGTCTGCTGCTCAAGATCTATTTTAAAGTGTTGGAAAGCAACGATGCCATTTGGGAGACTGAAGTTGACCTTAACTCAAGCCATCGTGTTTTCAATCACCGTATATGCACGTGAAAGCTGGACCCTGAATAAGGAAGCCCACAGAAGGGTCGATGCAGGTGAACTATCGTAGTGGAGGAGAATACTCAAAGTGCCGTGGACTGACAGAAAAACAATGAAGTCTATCTTGGAAGAAGTACAGCCAGAATGCTCCTTAGAAGCAAGATGGGCAGACTTTATCCGATATACTTTAGACATATTATCAGGAGAGACTAGTCCCTGGAAAAGGACATCTTGCTTGGTAAACTAGAGGGGCAGCAAAGAGAGGGAGCCAGCCGCTTAAGGAAATGGATTCAGACAGTGGCTGCAGCAGTGGGTTGAAGCCTAGCAATGATGGTGCAGGTGGCTCTGTACTGTTCTCTGGTACACAGTCATGAGGAGTCAGACTGAGCTCATCGGCACTACCAACAAGAAGGAAGCTCCCGAATGCAAAGCTGCTGGGTTCCCAGAAGCCTATCACCCTCCTGGCATGTGGATGTTGTTAACACAGAACACTGCTAACCAGGAAAGCTCGTCTAAACTTAGGAGCTCAGCATTTTATTATTGTGCAGTCGTTTTAGTTATTTATTTATAATCATTTTATTGGGGGCTCATACAACTCTTACCACAATTCATACATACATCCATTGTGTCAAGCACATTTATACATTTGTTGCCATCATCATTTTCAAAACATTTTCTTTCTACTTGAGCCCTTGGTATCAGCTCCTAATTTTTCCCCCTCCCTCTCCCACTCTCTCCCTCATGAACCCTTGATAATTTATAAAAAAATTTTTTTCATATCTTACACTGACCAATGTCTTCCTTTACTCACTTTTTTGTTGTCCATTCCCCTGGGAGGGGATTATAAGTAGATCATTGTGATTGGTTACCCATTTCTCCCCCCACCTTCCCCTTCCCCTCCTGGTATGGCTACTCTTAACATTGGTCCTGAGGGGTCCATCTGTCCTGGATTCCCCGTGTTTTCAGGAGCTCAGCATTTTTATTAAAGCTTCACTATGAAGTCATTATCGACTGAATCCACGGTCAGTGATTTAACCCAATTTGCAGCCCCTTTCCACTGCCCAAAGCCAGCCAGGTAGCCTGAGTCGAAGAACTCCATACTTCTAATCACTTGATTAGTTGGTTGTTGTTGTTTTTCCCCCTGGTAGGACCAGAAGGAGTCATATCATTAGCATAAATTATCAAAAGGTTCCTCATGAGTCATCTCATTAACAAGCTATCACTGGAGGTCCAGGGGTCCACACTTTTAATATTAGAGTTGCTCCAATCACTGTAGAAATTCCCAGGATTTAGAGGCTACCTCCCAAGAACTGCCACTCAAATTCTTTATCCCATAGGTTTTGTGGTTACCAACCAAGGACTAGGGAGTCTCCCTGGGCAGTTCTGTTCTGCCCTTGAGGACCCCAGTGTGTTGGAGTCAACTTGATGGCAATGAGTTTGCTCTGGTTTTGGTTTCCCAATAACCAGAAACTAAAGTCCAACCAACTCTTTATTAAATGCCACCTGAAAGTTTGGTAGTTCTAGGATCAAGTTCTGGTCCAAACAGAAATCTTCATCTGCCTTCTCTGTTAGAACTAAACCAATCACTGGCATTGGCTCCTTCCTATGTCCTGCGGAGTAGCAGGGACTCATGGGAAGGCAGGCCAGATCAGATTTCGCCAGTCTACCCACAGGATACCGAAGCGAGCAAGGGGGAGTGGAGAACAGCCATGATGAGAGCTTACGTTTTTCTTGAATTGGCGATGTTTGAGGGTTCGCCTGCAAGGGAGATAATAAGTTCATCAGGATGCAGGCGCCTCCCAAACTAATTGTATAGCTCTTTTTTCCCTGTGATCTTCTCACAACTTGTAATACATTTCTGGTTAATAGTACCTAAACTGCTGGGTTACAATTTTACATTATAAATATCAACTGTTTTCATCATCTTAATCCAATTCAGTAGATTTGTGGGAAGAAACACCATGGATACCCAAGTCGAAGTAGTAAAAGAAATAAATTATATTTCAAAACTACCGTATATATTCGAGTATAAGCCGGCCCAAATATCAGTCGAGGCATCTAATTTTACCACAAAAGCTGCATTAAAAATATGCTGAAAAACTTGGTTAATACACGAGTATACACAGTATTCCTTGAACATCTATAAAAAGTTGAGATTTTTTATCTCTGTCGTAAGTATTTTAGGCAGATGTGATGAATTATGAAAATGTCCACCTAGTTCCACAGGTTTTATTCTCGATGGCTTCCCACGGTACCTGGAGGAGGCCCAGTTTCTGGGAGAGCGTGGCTTTTTCCCCGATGCTGCTGTTTTCTTACAAGTTGATGATCAAGATGTCACTGATCGTCTTCTTCCTACTCACCTGGAGAAGTGGAAACAGAAACAAAAGAAGAAACTGGACAGGAAAAAACTCATCAAAGATATGAAGACAAAAATACGGGTCAGTATCCAGTAAAGCTTCCCGGGGATAAATGTGTTCACCGTCTTGATGGAATTGGAAAGGGTCCTTTCAGAGTATACTTGTTCTGGTTTTAATGCCAGAGTCAGCATGGAGACATCACTCAACTATCACACGAGTCAGTGTCTGAGGCCTTTGTGGTGGGAGGCCAGTGTTCAGCACAGAGCTGGCCTTTTGATTCCCAGCCTCTGACTGCTGCTGGTTTGAGTGGCCGGAGCAGAGGAAGAGTGGACTCAGGGTATGGATGAGTGCTAATAAGTATTAGAAAATTATCTTCATGCATTATGGGAATATAAAGAAGACTATGTTTTCGCAACTCTCCGGTTAAAGGGCTTATGGTAAAATTATAGGTTTGGTTTGGATTTTTTATAAAAAGGAAAATAATATAAATTTTAGGAGCCCTCCTAAGCTGTTTACCCAAAGGTTGAGAGTTCAAACCCATCAGCTGCCTGAGAAAGATAAAGCTATCTGCCCTCGGAAAAGATGTACAGCCCCGGCAGCCTTATGGAGCAATGCCACGCTGCTGGCTTCTAGCGTCATGAGTAGGAATCAGCTGGATGAGCGTTTTTCAACTGAACCCTCATAAGAACAATACAAGATCTCTGGGGGCTCATCAACGAAATTCATTTGATTCAACTCTGTTTTCTAAGTCCACCAACAAGTATTTCTTGAATACCTATGTATGTGGTGTAATCGTAGGATTTTTCCCACAAACATTTTGAAGTCCTTTGGTGTGCTCTCAATATTAACTAGATCAAAGTGGCCTGGGCCCAAACCCAGAGAGCACGTCCTTCATTCCCTTCCCGTGATGGTTGTGGTTTGATGCTGTTGAGTCCGTTTGGATGCACAGCAGCCCCCGGGCACAGCAGAAGGAAACACTGCATGGTCCTACACCAGCCTCACAATCGTGGCTGCTACTGTGACAGTCCATTTCATTGAGGGTCTGCCCCTTTGTCCCTGGCCCTCTACTGGTCCCTCGATCATCTCCTTCTATGTAGAGATTCCATCTTGGAGAGGCCTGAGTCAATGAGACCCCAAACACAGAATCACTTAACAGGCCTCCACTTCGAGGCTGTGAACATAAACTTTCCTCATATACACATATGTCTTTGGGGGGGGGGCTGTTTTAAGACTATTGATATGTCTTTGGAGGGGTGGAGCGATTAAGACTATTGTATTTGAGTAACATCATTAAAAAAGATTATCAAGCATTTTCAAAAAGTCCCCTCCAAGTGTTTCCTTCTAAAAAATCAACCAGTCAAAAAATCAAGAAATTCTCCTATTTCTCTAAGCATGAAGAACACACAAGCAAACACAGAATAAATGTTGGCAAAGGAGTTCTAACTTTCGGAGGAAGAGGGACTGGCACTTGGCACTGTTTCTCGGGGAGTGGGGGGTGGGAGGGGGGAGGGAGTAAGTTCCACCGCAGAGCGATGGATGTAGCCTGATAACAGCCAACACACCCTTTTCTGGGAACATCCTCTTCTCACCCAAATAAGATTCCCTGTTTGGAAAAAAGAAACAGGATTAATATTAAAGTCATTTTGATCCTCACTCAGTAAGATTTTTAAATCTCTCTTTCCTTTAACCAGGATGATATGATTACTAAACGAAGGGCTGAACTTTTATCAGAAAGAGAGAGAAAAAGGAGAGGGGAGGTAAGTGAAGGGCACGGACAGGGTTCACGTCTGACTAATGACTGCACATCCTTCTGATGTTGTGTCTGATCCTTCCGGGTTCCCATGCGTGCTGTACGATGACCGTTGAGTATATCTGAAATCAGAAAACGAGTAATAAACCATTTTTAAAGGTAAGGACACCACCAAAGATGGTTACATTAATCTCACATAAAATATAATACGACACTAAAAGATGGTCTTTTGAACTTTTAGCTTTGCTTCCCACTCCTTCAACCACAGGTAGATAGACAGGAAGCCTGTGACCTTGTGCTAACATATCTCAAGATAAATAATGGAATGGGGCAGGGACATGCAAACCCTCACCAGACCCCTGTGCAAGATAGTTACCTCAACTCTTATTCTCCATCTGCTGATTTTTTTTTTAAAACAGGCTAAACCTTGAAGATCATGGGGTTTGTTTTATTAAGAGAGGAACTGTTCCCTAGCTAACTCCAATGCCACAGCCAAGATCCCAGAGGGGAGGAGGAGATGTGCCCAGATAGGCTAGTTCTCAAAAGGCACATGTATACAGCCAGCTTGCCCTGCCCTGCCAAGGCAAAGGGTAGCACAGCGCTTCCTTCTTCCATTCCCTTCTGGCTGAAGCCATCTTTAAGACTGACTGTCCTAGAACCTGATTTCCATCAGTATAAAAATATTTGTCCAAACCAGGTGGATGAGAAGAGAACAATAGAAAACGTGTACTATTTGCTACACAGGCAATCACTTACTTACTCCTCCGATGTGGTGTAGTTAGGCTGGGTAGATGAGAAAAACAAATCCAGAGACACTCATATATGTGTAAGAAAGAGCTTTATAGCAAGAAGAAATTGTATATCAAGAAAATGTCCCAGCCCAATCCAACGCAAGTCCAATATTAGTCCCTAAGTCCCTCTTCAGACTCACGCAGCCACATGCAGAGATGCAGAATGCAGGCTGGTGGGGGCCACGCCCTGTGGATCCAGTGGCGGTGGTAGCATCACAGGGGTCTGGCAGCCCTCAGGGTCAGCCAGCAGGAACGTGAAGGCAAAGAGAGGGGGAGGGGGAGAAGGCTACCCCCCAAAAGGAGTCCCCCTCCGGCTGTGACCTGACTGACAGGTTAAATTCCACCCCTGCGCTTGTATCTATCCTCAAAGTGACGTGAAGTTATGTAACTACCACAGGAGGTCCGGTTGGATTCACACGCTGAGTGTGGGCAAGAGCATGGCAGAAGAGGAGCCCAAGGTTACAAGGGTTGCCTTTCTCCAGGACAAAATATTGATGCCCACAAGCAAATTGAAAGCCACTCGATTGAGGGCATGATGGCACCACCTCTTTTTAGGTGGTTTCTTTGTAAGGCCATGTTTCGGTTTTCTCTAAGAACCTTTCCCTCCCTTATTTGTATCCCTTTATTCAGTCAGTCAGCCAGGTAGCCAGCAACCCCCCACTGAGTCTGTTTCAGACTCTGGCAAGTCAGTCTTGAATACATCGTAGAGAATCCTCTGGATGATTCCGGTGCCCATTCCCTTTAGAAACTAGTTCACAAGTATACTCTGTTCAAGGGGTTATGTTCATGCTTAAACTCAAAAAGACAGGCTTCATAACTTGCGATCAAACCCAGTTCACTTCCTTAAGCCTGTGGGAACCTCTTGGGGTCCCCTAGGGTCCCTGGTAGTATAGTGGGTTATGTACTGGAGTGCTGACCACAGAGTCCGCAGCTCAAAACCACTAGCCAAGGGAGGAGGCTTTCTGCTCCTGTAAAGATCTGTAGCCTCAGAAACCTGCAGGGGCAGATCTCTTCTGTCCTAAAGGGTTGCCATGAGTCAGGATTAAGCTGCTGCCCTGTGTTTTGTTTTGGGTGAGTGGTCCCCTTCAGAATCACCTCGAATGTCTCAGTAACACATTCCCAAGGGGACTGAGACTTCAAAGTCCAGTAGACCTACCCGACATCCTCTGTTCATGTCTCACGCACTCTGTCACTGCCAGATGCCCAGTGCTGACACGTAGCAGGTGCTCGATCTTGAGTTGTTCCAGTGCTGTGGTACAACACTGCGCCAGCTTCTCAAACCTCTCTGAGCATGTGATGCTTTTTCATCATAGAATGGAAATAATTCTTAGTCCTTCTTTCCTTTACTAATAACACTTTCGTTTCGTATCTTTTAGGACTCTAATTAAATTCTGCTTTTACCTACGAATTCGTTTTCAGAGTCTATTCAAAATGTTCTTCGTTTATTCATTTTTTCCCATCTGCCAGCATTAGAATGGTGTGTCTCCTTATACTTTCTTGAATTCAAAAAGTCAATATTCTATCTCAACTCATTAAATAGTATTTGGTAAGTCAGTGAGCCTGGCACACCATCTTTTATAAAGTTGGCACTGTGCCACATAGAATTAAAATCAGAAGCAAAAACAGAGCCCCTGCCATAGAGCTGACTCCCACTCCTGGCGGCGCTGCAGGACAGAGTGGAGCTGCCCACAGGGTTTCCAAGGCTGTGAATCTTTACAGACGCAGCCTCCCACATCTTCCGGGCTCCCCCCCGCCTTCCGGTTGGTTAGCAGTCAGTCTCTTAATACAGTTAGATTATACAAATAAGGTTAGAAGCACAAATTCTGAGTCTTGGGGTTCATTAAAGGTTGCAATTGCATATAGATTTTGTTCAAGGCCGTTGATGGATTTTTATCAACTGGGATGCTACCACCCCCAACAAGCAAGCCCTGAGCACACTTGCCCGTCTCTGGGATGACTGAGCGTGATGGGGAGACTGTGAGTGAGTCCACCCGGCCTCCCTCCGGGTTTCTCTTTCCCATCATCGACATTAGCATGGTGTGTTTTCTTCGCCTTTCTGGACTCCGAAGATCCCACGTTCTAGCTTAGCTAGTGAAATCAGGATGTGTGCGCTCCTCGCGATCATGTACGGAGCCAGAGCCTTCGTCCCTTTGGCCTCGGGACGCAGAAGACATGGCTGCATCACTTGCCTTTTTCAATGAATCGAGGACTCAGGCGCTGCTACAGCTTTCGCGCTCTCAACAAAAAAAGCAATGTCTCTACTGTCTGACTTCTCAGCAGCGAAGAGAGTTGTTAGCATCCTTTCAAAGGACCAGTGTGATACTCGCATTAATTTCATAGGAAAACATCGCCACCGTGTGGCATTTTAGTCGCCTGCTCGCCTGCTGGGGCGAACATTGACCCCATCACATAGCTATTTCTATTTTATACTTCCCAACGCATCAGAAGGAACCCTGGTGGCTAGTGGGTGACGCATTGGGCGGGTAACTTCAAGGTCCGCAGTTCCAACCCCAACCTGCCGGTGGGGGTGGGAAAAATAAGGCTTTCCACTGCAGGAAGATTGGCCATCCTGGAAACCTGCCACGTCAGGATAGCGGTGAACCCAACTCCTGGAAGGCCTAGCTTCGTTCTTACCCGCCACTACCTACCTCCACTCTTACCCTCCTGACACCTTCGCCCATGCCCCAGAACTAAACCATTTCAAAATTAATATTAAAAAAAACCAAAAACAAGAATGGAGAAACAAGGCCCTAAAACCAAGCACCTGTGGGAAGGAAAGGAAGGAGGTTGAGCAGGGAACCGAAGAGAAAGGACCCTGGCGCTCCTCATCCTCTTCCCCCCACTCAGAGACCCCAATCGGAACTCCGTTCCAAGGAACAGGGACTTGGTTCTAGAAAGACTAGGAAATGGCAGGCTGATCAAGCAATGGAAGGAAGAGGCCATGATAGGGCAAGCAGTGGAGGGGGGCTAACGAGGAAAGGGACTGGGGAGTCCTTTCGGAGGGCAGTCCACGGTAGCAGATGGGATGGTTACAGCTAGCAAGCAGGAAGTCAAGATGACTCCGAGGTTTTGAACTGGATGGTGTGCTCTGACTGAGACAGGGAGAAGGGTGTGTAGCCTCTGCCGGAGGGTCAGTATGGTGAGTTCTGTTTTGCACAAGCAGAACCATTCTCGACTGCAAGGGGGCCAGGAAGCCTGGCGCTGTATTAGCCAAAAACAGAGCAGGCTGATTCCAGAAATTCTAAGTTGATTCCTGTAAGAGATTGCAGAAGGAAAACATCAGGGTTCTCCTCTGAGCTGTTTCAGAGTCCAGCAAGTAAACATACCTGAACAGGGTGACAAGAGACAGGTTTATTCCAGTTATTCCAGGATTCATAGGTTTTCACAATAATCACAGGACACCACTGATACTCTGGGCAGGACGGTTCTTCCATGTTCATTGGGAAATGATCAACCCCTACATTTCCCCAGGGACCTTAGACCACCATCCCCTGAAGCTTCATGCTTCTGTGTCTGTCTTGATGAGACCACTAACTACATTGACGCCTCTGAGTAGGGATGCTTCGCATCTGGCGCTTTATCTTAGCAGTCTCACTAGCCTCTTTCCTGAGCCAGGACATTGCTACTGATAAAGCCCAGAAGGAATTTTTACTGCAAGGGAAGAGGCTGTTACATTTTGGATTTTTAACAAACTAAATCTTGAATTATGTTATTTTTCCAGTATTTTGATTAACAAAAAACTAACTCTTTCACCCTCGCTGTCAGCGTTGGTATTGAGTTGGGCCCCTAGCCACCGGGTCATTGGGTCTAACCCACCAGCCACTCTGAAGGAGAAAGATGAGACTATGTACTCCAGTAAAGATCTGTAGTCTCAGACGCCCAAGAGGGCAGTCCTCATCTGTCCTGTAGAGTCGCTATGAGTCGGAATTGACTCCATGACAGTGGGTGGGATACAATATAATACCAATATCCTTTCACGGCTTAAAAAAAAAAATTTTTTTTAAAACCCTTTTCCATGATGAGTCAATTCTGACTCATAGTGACCCTATAGAGGGTTCCCAAGGGTCTCATTTTTCTCCCAAGGAGTCTGGTGGGTTTGAGCCCCTGACTTTGCAGTAAGCAGCCTAATGCTTACTCAACAGTGCCCCCTGGATCATAGTCTTTAATAATCATTCATGTGTGATTCTTATTTCCCCAGATGTGCTATAAACTCTTAAAGGGCATGTACTGATCTATTAGGACAGTACTCCACCCCCAGGCGCTTATGGGTCAGAAGCGACTCTGTGGCAGCAAGTGTGGTTGTTGTTTTGTTTTGTCTTGTACAAAAGAACAATAGTCGCATCACAGTGTTAATAATAGCTGTTGTGTGTATGTTAATCCTAGACCTTTAACTGTTCTAAGAGCTGTCACTTTCATCCCCCAACAACCCTGTGAGGGGGGTATTTTTATCACTCCTATTTTACACATAAGGAAATGGATCTTGTTCAAGTTAACAAAATTCGTGAGTATTTAAAACTCTTTGAATTGTATGAAATATCATTATTAAGGCCATCAAAACACGAAACATTCTTATTACTACCTAGCTTCCACTGTGTGCTCCAAGCAAATTAAACCTAAAATTTCTCAAACCAGCCTTGCATTGTTCTATCTACTATCCCCATTATTTTCTATAGTCTCCTAATACTATCCATTGTAACTTTTTAACACTCTATTTACCTGTTTGTTTGTATGCCTTATCCCACTTTCAACTTGGTGAGGACAGAAAACATGCTTATTTTGCCCTTTTTAAAATTTTTCCAGTAATTAACATATATGCACTCAGTAATGATTTGTTAAAGTCACATTCTGACAGCCATGGGCATAAATAACATGTAGACATTATTGTCTATTTATGACACACTTGAAGGTGTGGCACTTCTGGGCATCGGATCTTTATTCTGCTCTGTGTTGCTAGATGAATTTTACCATGCCGTACCAACCAACATCCAGTTATTACAAACTGTTACAGATGATGAGTTCATAATATCATCCCTTACACATATCATAGGCATAGCCAAAGATCATTGTTCCTTCCTCAGGCTTCTGCTAAAGAAGATGAAGATATGAGTGAGGACGAGCTGGATGACGAGGAAGATAGTATTGAAAACATCCTCGATGAAGAGTTTCCAAAAGATGAGGAAGAGATGAGTGAGGAAGATGAAGAACAGGAAAGTGAGGCCGTTGAACGCCTGAAAAGTGAGCTGGGAGATAAATTTGAAACAGACCTGAGTAATCTACAAGTAATACAGGTGATTACTTTTCCTTTATTACTTTTCATAATTTGACAAAGTAACGGTTCATTTTCACCACAATAGAAAAGTACCATTTGACAATGAACCCCAAACAATTTGGTTTATGCCTTAGTGTGTTTTGTTTTGTTTTAACATTTCAAAACAAATATATTTCCTCAGCACCACTTATAATTATGCAAACACAATTGCTTATAGAGCAAAGGCCACTTGGAAGCCCACAAGGCCAGAGGTTCTGGTGACCAGCGTGCAGCCACATAGAAGCTGTAAAACCGCCATCCTTCAGGAGCTCTGGTGGTTCATTGGTTAAAGTGCTCAGCTGCTAAGAAAAAGATCTTGGTCCAAACCCACCAACTTCTCCACGTGGAGAGACCTAGGGCTGTTCTCCCTGCAGGATTACAGCCTAGGAAACCCTCTGAGGCAGCACTACTCTGCCCGACAGGGTTGCCGTGAGTTGGAATCAATTGGAAGGCACACGCGGACTGAGACCACCAGTCACTAATCAGGTCTATGTGCTGTGACTAAGTACTACTCGCCTTTCCTCACTGAATAGATGTGCTTTTATGCTTTCCCTGGCTCAGGAGGAATTTGACAAGTTTTTAATACCAATAATCAACATTAACGGAGCTCGGAAAACCCACATTGTACAATATATATTGGATAGCAAAGTGAAGCCAATGGTGGAAAATCGTGCGAGCATCTTTGAGAAATGTTTTTCAATAGCGCCACAACTTGCCCAGAAAATGCTTAACTATACCTACAGATATACAAGCTCATTTGGATATTGGGATCCAGTAAAGGTAATGTCAGCAAACGAATCTGAAAGCTATGTTCTTTCTATTCTTCTGGGATATTTTGTTTGTTTGTTTTCCAAGATAGTCTAGGAAAAAAGACAGTGGACTATATCAAAAGTTATAAGCTTTGTATAGTATTCTTGGGGTTTTTTAAAAATCATTTTATTGGGGGCTCTTACAACTCTTAATCACAATCCACACATACATCCATTGTGTCGAGCACATTTGTATATATATTGCCATCATCATTTTCAAAACATTTTCTTTCTACTTGAGCCCTTGGTATCAGCTCATTTTCCCCCTCCCTCACCCTCTCTTCCTCATGAACCCTTGATAATTATAATTAATTATTATTTTCATATATTAAACTGACCGCTTTGTCCCTTCACCCACTTTTCTGTTGTCCATCCCCCTGGGAGGGGTTATAGGTCAACCTTTGTGCTCAATTCCCCCATTATCCCGCCACTTTCCCCTTACCCTCCTGGTATAGCTTATTCTCATTATTGGTCCTTAGGGGTTTATCTGTCCTGGATTCCGTGTGTTTCCAGCTCTTACCTGTACCAGTGTACACCCTCTGATCTAGCTGGATTTGTAAGATAAAATTGGGGTCATGACAGTGGGGAGTTGGGAAGCATTAAAGAACTAGAGGAAAGTTGTGTGTTTCGTCGGTGTTATATTGCACCCTGTTTGGCTCATCTCTTCCTGTGACCGTTTTGTAAGGGGATGTCCAATTGTCTACAGATGGGTTTTAGGTCTCCACTCCACCCTTCCTCTCATTCACATCAATATGATTTTTTGGTTCTGGGTCTTTAATGCCTGATATCTGATCCCGTTGACACCTCATGATCACACAGGCTGGTGTGCTTCTTCCATGTGGGCTTTGTTGCTTCTCAGCTAGATGGCTGTGTGTTTATCTTCAAGCCTTTATGACCCCAGATGGTGTATCTTTTGATAGTCGGGCACCATCAGCATTCTTCACCACATTTGCTTATGCACCAATTTTGTCTTCAGTGATCATGCTGGAAAGGTGAGCATCACAGAATGCCAGGTTATTAGAACAAAGTGTTCTTGCATTGAGGGAGTACTTGACTGGAGGCCCAATGTCCACCTACTGCCTTAATACTTAACAAATAAATATATGTACATAGATCTAGCTCCCTATTGTTATATATAAATATATTTACATATGTACGTGTCTTTTGCCTCCTAGTTCTTTCCTCTATTTCCTTTTTCTTTCCTCTTGTCTCACTATCATGTCCAGCCCTCATTCAGGTTTCAGTAATTCCTCTCAGCTACATTGCCCTTGACCAAGCCCCACCAGGCATCCTATGTCCTCCTCGCCATCAATTTTAGATCACTTGTTGTTCCCTTGTTCATGAGTTTGTTGGAACTCCCCTACATCCCCCAGTTTCCACTTCTCCCTTGTCCAACTGGAACTATCGGTCCTGTTGTTCTCTCCTCCAGATTGTTTATCCTGCCTATCTTATCTGGATAGACATGCAGAGACAATAATAAGCACACAAAAACAAGACAAAGCAAAACATAACAATAAAAGAAAATAAAACAACAACAACAAAACCAACCACAAAAAAAGAAAAGCCTAAAAATAGTTCCAGGTCTGTCTGTTGACCTTTATGAGTGTTTTCCAGTAGAGTCTGATGGGTTGCCATGCTTTAGCCCCAAAGTATATTTTTGGTATGGTATTCCCTCTGGACTTCGTTGCTCTGTTCCCCTTGCTGCTCTGTTGCACACCCTTAGTGTTTTGCCCCAGTGTGGTGGGGTCAGATCGGGCACGATTCCCGCAATGTGTCTCTAGTGTTGTCCCCCATAGCACCATGTATGGGTCAGTGAGGGACGTCTTGTTTCGTGGTGGGGCCTGCCCTATGACCCTTTCTGGGCACTGGCTGCTCCAAGTCAGATTATCATCCTTGGGACTTGGTGAGCCAGGATGTGTTCCACTCTCTCTCCTTCCCTCTTCATTTGCTCCTGATCAGAAGCACCCTTCTTCCTGAGTTGCAGCTTCAGTGCTGTCCTCTGAAGTGCATTCTTCTGGAGGGGCTGGGGTGGGGGTACATAGTTGGGATTGGGGCTGGCCCCTATATAGTATTCCTAACTAACTGTAAAAATATCTGGTTGTCTTGTCTTTCTGCTGTGGAAAAGGTTAGTTGACAGATTTCATTTCTTTAATCTGTATTGATCACTTAATTCCACTTTGGTTTTGCCTTTGTAGTTGTGGAAGTGGTATTGAACAAGTAACTGACTACTACTTTGCTTTCTAATTTCTGACAAGTCATTTAGTCTCTGATTCTGCTTCCTCACTGGTAGGATGGAAGAATGTTGCCACTAGGCCTTTATGATCCAATGTAAAAAATAATAAGGCCCTCTGAAGAGTGTAAAACCACATGCAAAATAGTGTTGTTAACAATTAATGGTCATAACTAATTCATGTATAAGTACTCTGTGGAAAAACTATAGGTCATGTCAATAACAAAACAAATTTAACCCCAGTGGAAATTATTATCTTCAAATGTAGGGTGATTTTCAGCAAATCTTAATCAAGAGCATGTTGATCACTATTTTAGTCTCTGGAGTGGGGGGGTGGAGTTGTGAACAAAATAGATGGGGTATCTTTTATCATGGAGCTTATATTCTATTCAATTGGGGAGGGATGCTAGACCATACATAAATATACAAATAGGATCCTGTCAGAGAGTGGTAAGTGCTACAGAGAAAATAAAACTGTAAGATCAGAGTTCCTGGGTGGTGCAAATGGTTAAGGTGCTCAGCTGCTAACTAAAAAGTTTATGACTCAAGTCCACCCAGAGGCACCTAGGAAGAAAAGGGTAGGGATCTATTTGAGATCACTATGGAAACCAGTTCTACTCCACCACACGGGGTTCCCATGAGTCAGAATTGTCTTAAGGACAATTGGTCTTGGTTAATGTGATAGTGACGGGACAAGAGCTACTTCGGATGAGCATCTTAAATGATGAAGAGGCACTAGCCATGCAAAAATCTGGGATAAGTGTGCCCTTATCAAAGCAAACAGCAAGTGTGAAAGCTTAACACAAGCATAATGGTCTTGTATTTGAGGGCCAGTGCAGGTGGAATTTAATCAGTGGGAGGAGTATGGCCTGAAAGGATGTTGAAGAGAGAAGCTGGGTTTAAATCAAATAAGGTGAGTGAGTGGAGCACAATGAGATGCCAGTGTGATGACTTTTAATTTCTCTGAAGAGCAGCAGCATGCCATTGGAGGGTGTCAGTAGGGAAGTGGCAGTATGTTATTGAAGATTTACTTCTGCTGGGTACAAAAGAAAAGGGATAAGCCCTTGTCTGGGAATCAAAAGGTTAACAGTTTGAATCCACCCAGTGGGACTGATGAAGCAAGACTTGGAGATCTCCCATAAAGATGAGAGACAAGAAAACCTGGGGTTGGGACAGAGTTTGACAGAGCATCTTGGCCAAATGACTGGAAGAGAACCATATTTGTACTATTCCAAAGAAAAGTGATCCAACAGAATATGAAAATTATAGAACAATGTCGTTTCTATCACCTGCAAGTCAAATGTGCTGAAGATCATCCAACAATGGTTGCAGCTGGGACAGGGAGCTGCCAGATTCAGAAGTGGATGTGGAACAAGGGATATCATTGCTGACATCTTGGCTGGATGGAGCTTGGCTGAAAGCAGAGAATACCAGAAAAATGTTTGCTCATTTTTTATTGACTATACTGACGCATTTGACTGTGTGGACCATAACAAACTATGTGTCCATAGTTTGGGAAGAATGGGAATCTCAGAATACTTCATTGTGTTCATGTGGTACCTTCACCTGAGTCAGGAAGCAGCTACATGGTTAAAATCAGGAAAGGTGTACATCAGGGTTGCATCCTCTCACCATACATACTCAATCTGTATGCTCAGCAAATCATCAGAGAAGTTGGATTATATGAAAAAGAAGAGGAGGAAGAACTCATCAGGATTTGAGGAAGGCTTATTAACAACCTGAGATATGCAGATGACATAACCTTGCACATTGAAAATGTGGAGGACTGAAGCACTTGCTGATAAAGATCAAGGATTACACCTTTTGATATGGACTACAACTCAATGTAAAGAAAACCAAAATCTGACATGCATAATTTCCTTCTTTCAACAGTGTTTTAAAATGCCATTGGCTAAATTAATGATACTATCAATAGAATTACCATATGTCCCATGAGGATGATTTATAATGTTCTCTACTATAAAATGATAATGATGTCTCTAAAATGAACTAGAGACATATATAAACTATAGATATATAAATGGATTGGGGACTTGCATTTAATGATAACCCTAATATGAGAGCAATTTATTCTTATGACATGGCCCTATTCAATACTTGCCCTCGTGAAGAGATTCCTGAAGATATGGGTGCTGTAGCAAGCCGTGGAGAAGAAATCAAATAGTCCCTGCTATCAGAAAGAATAGTGTCTGGAGTCTTAAAGGCTTGTCTTGAAACAAGCAACCATCTAAGTGAGGCACAAACTAAGTCCACATTGGAAGAAGCACACTAGCCTGTGTGGTCCAAGGATTGTAAACAATAAAATCCAAATCTGGTTTGTTTGGTTGTTTTTCATAATTCAGTCGTGTTTTATTTATTTATTTAAATCATTTTACTGGGGGCTCGTACAACTCTTATCACAATCCATACATACATCCATTGTGTCAAGCACATTTGGACATATGTTGCCATCATCATTTTCAAAA